GATGTTTGCGCAGTCATCCGAAAGAATCTCTTGGGCAAAAATCGACCGAAACGTGTATTTCAATATGTTATGGATAAACAAAAAATAATTGCTCGATAATGCTAAATATCGAATTGCCAATTAGTAAACTGCCGTCAGCGTTCGGAAATATATTCGGCATCTCTCACTGGTCGATTTTCATCCGATATATTTTATTAATTCGAAAACTGTCGGTGGCAATTTGAAACATGCTGAAACATACGCGCGTTTATTCAAAATTGATATATTCGTTTAATTTCGAGATCCCTTTGAGTTATTGGCGCAATCATTCCGAAACCCACCGCGTAGAGCATGCAGTTCAATCAAAGAGTTGGTTTAGTCTCGATCAGAACATTGAAATCAATTTAATTTAGATGCAGCTTCCCATGCCGGAGTAACCCGAGATTGATTGTTTAATTGGTGCTGGATGCATTGTTTTCTGCTCAACAAGCACAGCATTATACAGAGTGTTCGGGAATTTTCAATATTTCCATTTTTTTTGCAAAATAAAATTTCAACAACTAGCCAAACGTAGAATTAATAAAAAATGTGTGAGTTGATTGATTCCGACACGATCTTAAATAACGGCAGATAACCATTCAGACAAGTTTGGAGAACAAAAGTGCAGACTCGCAACTTTCCAACGGTAGCAAGGATTGTTCTAAATGTATGCTGAGTGCGGCGCAAACTTAAATCGTAAAATCCTGAAAAGTTTCATGGAAATCCAGCCGACCACTCCGGAATTTTTCCATTAGAAACTATATCAAAATCGACCCCATCTCAGGAGGAACTGCGCCTTGGCACCCATAATGGGGTTTCCACCATTTCCATTACCATCCTGATACATTCGCGTTTTATTCCGATTTATTTGAGCGCATTTCTGTGCAGTATTTTATGGACACACTCGGCCGCCCAGATTTACTGAAGCAATTACTTCAGCACAAAAAAACGGTTCGGGTAACTACTGGGGACCGGCGGGTCCATTCATAAAAATATAAAAGTGTATTTCTAGACATAATTATTCCATTTGGTTTCAAAATGAACCCCGCGCGCATATGCTTAACGCAATACGTTGCAATTTAAAGTGTGCTGGAATTTTTAATAAATTTTCTCTAATCTGTCTCCCATTTCTGTCTGTTTCTGTGAGCTTGTGGTTTCTTTTACCCAGGGTAGGCCCCGGGTTGAAAAAATTGAAGAAAACCCGATTTTAAATGCTAACGACATCAATCTAGCTTGGGAAAGAATCAAGAATAATATCAAGAATTCAGCAAGGGAGGCACTTGGAGAACGAACTAGAAAAGTGAACCAAGCAATCAACCACAAGACACCAGGGTTCCGCCCAGAAGTCCAAGAACAGTGCAAAGAAAAAAGAAAAGCCTACCTAAAATATTCTACTATGCTAACGCCAGAATCATATAATGAATATAAGCAAGTTAGGAGCAAAACTAAAAAATTAAGGAGAAAAATAACGAACGGTCACTGGGAAATGTCCTTCAAACGCCTGGAAGGTGATTTCTACGGGCTTCAAAAGCAGATATGGCGATTCATAAGATCGCACAGAAAGGAGGTCAATGAACTGTATAAAACGACAAACACGGCAGAAATAAATATTAACGAAGATGCCACGATCGATAAATCCGACGTAGAAAACGCACTACAGAAACTAAGAAATAGAAAAAGCGCCGAACAAGACGGTATACAAAATGAATTGCTCAAATACGGTGGGCAAAGACTAACAGAAGAATTAACTACTGTAATAGAGAAAATTATATATCAACACAAAATTCCAGATGAATGGCGAACCAGCACTACTGTGCTAATGTTCCAACAAAGGGGAATGCGAGCAAATTATAGAGGAATAAACCTTTTAAGCACTGCTCTAAAACTAACACCTAAAGTGATTACGAATAAAATCAACAATCTTAAATCGTTGGCAGACGAACAACAGGGATTCATATCGGGAAGATCTTGCACAGACGTGTTCGTATTAAGACAAATAGTGGAGAAGTCGATTGAATACAACAAGCCAGCGTTTATATGTTTTGTTGATCTAACTAGAGCATTTGACCGTGTCCAGCTGAAAGACGTCCTGCAAAATCTCACACGATATCAGTAAAACCGTCTTCTTCTTATCGTGCCTTATCCGTCGCGGACGTTGGCTATCAACATGGCAATTTCTAAATAGCTGTATAGATAGTAAGTCCAAACCACTGGCG